ATTTTTAAAAAAATTTTTCTTTTTCTTTTTTCCTAACAATTTCTGCTATTTTAACATTTTTTTATTTTTCTTGATGTATCTGTGTGTGTGTGTGTGTGTGTGTGTGTGTGTGTTATGGACTCTACTGTCTTCCCATTTACTTGTCTACCCAAAGGTACTTCCTCTCCTTCCTCCTGCTACTAATCCTCCTGTTTCGATTTCTCTTTCACACTTGCTAAGGTGTGACAACTCTGTCTCCTCACCTCCTACCTCCTCAGCCTACCATCCCACTCCTCACCCCTGGCTCTTTGTCCACCATCAGAAACTGTAAGCCTTTTTACAAACCTACTGAGTATATTATAGATAATAATAGAACTCACCATTTCTGGACATTGTAACCAAACTATAAACATCTTGTTAGCAAACATTTTTTTTTAGGGTGTATATTGTTTATATTGGGATCTGTTAACATTGTCCTTCGCCTCAAAGGAGAGGTATCAGAACCCTACAGGGACACTAAAAGCCTATAGGGTAAAATAGGTAACACCTGGGATCCGCAGTGCTAGAAGGGAAGACTCACAAGCAATATGAAAAGACAAGGGAAGAAAGTGCCCCGTTATTAGAATCCATGGCCAGCACAGCAGAAGAATGGCAGAGAAGGAGTTCAGGATGTGCATGATGAAGATGTTCTGTGAACTAAAGGATGATATAAGAAAGCAAATACAGGCAGCAAAAGACCATTCTGACGAAGAGCTACATAAACAAATACAGGAAGCAAAGGCTTACTTCAAAAGGGAGATGGAGGTTCTAAAAAAATACCCAGAAACCCTTGAAATAAAATAAACAATAAACCAAATTAAAAATTCAATTGAAAGCATCACAACAGATTAGATCTCAGACCATAACGACAACATATATAATCTTGAAAAGGGGGAGAGGAAACAGAAGAGGGTTGGTGGACGGTATGAGAGTGCAGTCGGGCAGGAGGACCAAGTTCCATGTTCCATGAGCCCGTCGGGTGAGTGCGTCCAGGATGATTTACTCTGCTGGAGGAAGGAGGAGCAGCGCAGAGCTGAGTGCCTCCTGACACCAGGACTCACAAACTTTGTAGGCAAGGAAAAGGCTGATGAGCCTGACTGGACACTGCACACTGGACATGTGTCCTGCATGAACACACTGTGCTCTGTAAATACAAACCATAATGACAGTCAACTTATTAGGAAGCATCTATAAGTAAAATAAACTAAAATAAAATAAAATTTACCCCTGAGAGAAAACAAAAGCACACACAAAGTGAAGTTAGGTCAGGCTAGTTGGCAGGTGGTCCCCCGCCTGCGTCCCTCCCTGCTCCACCTCCCTCTGCCCTCAACTTCCACGGCTCCCTCCCCCTGGCCTCCTTCTCCCCCTTCCCTCCGGGCAGCCCCCACACTCCACACTCCGGCACCTTCTCCTGACCCTGTCTCCTTCCAGTCTCTACCCGGGGTCCTCTCTCAGGGAGGAGAACGTCCTTGATGGTGGAAGGGACCCTGAGTTCCTCACGGGAGACTCTGGCAGTGGCTTGTCCCTAGACTCAGAAATGACAGAGCTCAAAAGGACCCTGGCGATTCCCCAGGAGGAAGCACAGCCCCAGGAAAAGAAGGTTCTAGAAAAAGAAAAAGGCACCAACATGAAGCCCACGGAGACGGACTGCACCCTCACCTCCCTGGGGTCCTCTTTCGGCTGGCCAGTGTCGCACAGAGCAGTCATCCCAGACTTCCTGCCTCCCAAGATCTAGCCAAGAGGGGACCTGACCGCTGTGGGAGGAGCAAGTGTACCACGGTTCTTCTAACAGCAAAACCCTGAAGAGGTGGAGCCTGCTCACAGCCTCTCATCTCCTGGTCCCTAAGCCCACCCCCCATCCTAACCCACTCCCCCCACCCCAGAGACGCTCCTCTGCTCAGGGGCATCCCCGACCTCTATGTGGTGAAACTGGACCAAAGCTCAGTCTTTTTCTAACTGGACTGTCGGCATTTTCCCACTCCACGGCCTTAAACACCTTTTCCATTTGCATCTCTAGGCACTGGAGGACCCCGGGGCTCTGTCCCTTTACACTGTCCTTCTCCAGGGATCTTCATTCCCAGGGTGGTCTTCCCAGTCTCACGGTCTATCCGCTGTCTGCATACTGATGAAGACCTCCCGTTTGCCTCCTGGACCTGCCCCTGACTCCCAGTCCTGTGTAGCTCCCTGTTCAACGTCTCCACTGAGGCCTCTGACTGACTGCTCAGCCAACGTCCTCACTTTCCACATTTCAGTAGGTGGCCACAGTCCTCAGGTGTGCAGGCTGGAGATCCGAACACCAGCTTGCACACCGCTGTTTCACACCCGGGCTCCGTAAGTCTCCTCCCAACTGCCTTCAAAGGATACTCCTTTTCTGACACTTCCTGCCATTGCTCCTACTGCCACCACCAGGTGAGTCATCTGCACAAACACAAGCCCTCCTCTGAAAAGGGTGCCCCTTGCTGTGCCACTCCCTCAGTGACCATCTACCACCAGCTAGTTCCTGCTCCTTCTTTAGTTCTCCATGCCCTTTAGAAAGATCTTTTCTGTCCCACCCCTCTGAAGTTGCCACCACCTCCTCTCTTCTTTTCCAGCCATGATACCATTTTATTTCTTGTTACCGTGTGAGAATTGTGGCTCATCTGCATGTGCGTCTGTATCCTGCCTCAGTTCTGTAAATGCATGCGTACCTTCCAGGGACTTCTAGGCTGGGAAGGGCCAGGAGCCTGGTGCGGGTCTCACTCCTATTACGACCATCAATAAATGTTTGTTGAATTAGCAAACGAGTGATTGTGAAGGCCCTTCTGTCCCTGAGAGTCCTGTAATGAATGTAATCATGCATCCTGGTGGCTTACTTACACATGGTGCTGCGGTCAAAAGGAAATGAGATAATGACACGTT